GACAAGTATATTGGCTGTTTAAAACAGTATAATGGGTCTGTGCGTCATGTCTTAAAGCAAGAGCAGCCTAATATACCGGCTGCCAAATAATGAGATAATATTAAAAACTTCTATGTGGCAGTTTTTCCCTATGATATCGATGTCAAAAATGTGCAAAAATCATTGTGCAAAAAAGTTAATGTCACACCCTGTTTAGAGAGATCATTGATCAAGCTGTTTCAGACACTGCGACAATGTATATTGAGAAAATAAACTGTTTTTTGAACTTGTAAACTTATTGTAGAAGACCTGCTAAACAAAATAAGCATAATAGGGGCACTTTAAGATGGTACTGGTGGTACTGGATATAAGTGACATTTACATATGAGAGCGTACTGGATATGCTAGAGTTGATTCAGGCACCCTCCCTAAAAGCTTTTTGAAACTTAACCTGTTTTGCACTGAGTTAAAAAAAATATGAATTATGGATCCATCTCCAAATCATTAGAAATACTAGCCTGCTTTTCACCCTGTGATTAGACATTTCTACAGCGATGAGAAGGAGACATAAATCAAACTGTAGTCTAACTATGAAAAAGAAGACGACAGATGTATTGTAAGAAAGCAACACTTTGAAATAAAAACCGTGACCTGTTACTAGCCTTGTCACTGGCTCAGAAATGGTTTGCATGCTCTGGATGCCTGAGTTATTCGAGCCCAGGGGGGGCTCTGCCGACTGAAAATGAGATCCCACCCCAGAGCCTCCCCTAGATATGGCAGGCCTGTACACAAGGGCAATTCCTCCACTGGCTCTGTTAGTCAATCAGGCTGAGAGACAGAGAGCGAGGGAGGGGGTGTGTGGCGGGCTGCCATTTTGGGCAGCAAGCCTTGGATGCTTTTCAGTGAATATAAAATATATAAGATATTATGTATAGATAGAGAATTAAACCATGAGACTGCCAAGATACTACTGGAAGCCATATAATAACATTCTGATCCTACTCCCTCTCTCTCACACACACACACACACACACACACACACACAAACACACAAATGAGATCAATTTTATATCTGTTATTTCTCCTAGACAGCAATGAGATTAAAGGTGCAATGTGTAAAAAAAATTAGTATATATTAACAAAAATGCAATGACATCCATAAATGTTTTCAGTGGTGTGTAAAGAACTTATTTAATAAACAATAATGTTTTTTTAACCTTAGAATGAGACATTTATATCTAACATAACCGCGGACACCCCCTTCTATGAAGGTCGATATATTGTGACGTCATGTTTCTACCGTAGTCGACACAAAAAAGCTAGAAACTAGCATAAACACCGTGAATAGTGACTTTTCCCTTGTCAGTGGTGTAAAATATGTAGTTGGATTGTTTCATGTAACTTAGTTCTTCTTATGGCTTTGCTATGTGGGGATAAATGTGCTGGTTACATTCGTGAGACAGCTGATTAGTACTCTTTTCATTTACAGAAATCACCAACCCATCGATCGTGCTCGACAAGTCGATCTTGGAAGCATTTTATGTTGATCGCGTAGTTTTCAAAATCAGAGAAAAAAAGCCTATAGTGTGTAGTAAATGGTGTCATGGGGATGCGGGGGTGTGTGCGCTGTTACAATCATGTCATTTTTGCCGCGCACACGTTTGGGCTCATGCGGATGCGGACGTGTCGAGTTTAATCAAGGCTTTACGCTTTAACCAGCTCAGCCACAGTAACAGCTCATATTTTGCCAGCTAAACTTTTACTACCCTTTTAGAAAAAATATGTAGTTGCATAGTTTCATGTGGTTCTTCTCCCTCGCTGTATTATGGGTTTGCTACAGTATGTGGGGAGAAATGTGCTGGTTTTTAATATTATTATATTATATATTAGGACCCCTAATCTTCACCTGACTATGGCTTTGTAAACTTTATCCATGATGCTGTTTATAATGGACTGTGGTACAGAGACTTAGCTTACTCTGGCTATTCTCTGCTGTCTCAGACGACGATACCTTTGTCCAGTTTTAGCCACCGTAGCTTCTTCGAAAGGGAGGGGTGAGCACTGAGCAGTGGGCTGAACTCTTAGTGAAACTTGCAACCGAACTGCGATTTCGCAAAAAACAACAACAAAAAAAAAAAACACACTTAACCTTTAAATGGAGCAAATGAATGCTCCTGCTCCCTATATTTTGCTCCTGAAAAAAATAGATTTCAGTAATCTTGCATATGTCTCCTCTAAGGTTTAAAATTCAGAATCAAATCTTAAAGTTAAATATGATCTTAAACACGTATGACTACATAAAAGTTAAGATAAAATGATTTAAAAAATAAAAATAAACTAATATAAACCGATATTCTGAGCTGCGCAGTCTCATCCCAAGACGTCATATAACTGACGTCTTGGGACGTCTTTTGACCATACGTCAACATCTGCCTTTTTAGGGTACCCTTAAACGTCAGTTAGATGATGTTATCGGATCCTACCCCAGACCTAAACCTACCCCGTCGCCTAACCGACGTTAAAGGTAAAGCGTCAGTTCTATGACGGCCCGGGATCGTCATGTAACCGAGTATGGTCAAAAGACGTCAGTTGTATGACTTCTTGGGATGAGACTGTGTTCGATTAGTAAAGTAGCTCTGTATTACTCTTTATCAATCATTTGTGTGTATTTTAATTTCTTCTGAAGACATTTTATTCCATTCAATTATTACAGGACTCCTGAGCTATGAAATATAAGCCAATGAGAAAACCCACATAAAATTTCTAACTTTTTCGCATTTTCTCTACTGATTTGGAGAGAAAATATGTGAAGAGTTCAGATGCAAAAGTCTCTAAGTGCCATTTGAAATTTTCTTCTAGAATGATAATTTTTATCAAGCTTGTATATTTAAGTTCAGTGATTTCACTTAAATGGCAATGATAATTACCTATTAATTGTTATTTAAGTGAAATTACTGAACTTAAATATACAAGTTTGATAAAAATCATCATTAAAGAAGAAAATTTCAAATGGCATTTAGAGGCTTTTGCATCTGAACTCTTCATGTGGAGTATTGTAAGAAAACCAAACATGTACTAATTATTCGTAGATGAAAACATAATCAAACTAGCCAAAATATTAATAAACAAAAGACAATGGCTGGGGGGTATATACAACATTTCTGCATGCTCAGGTTTCATGTGGATGTGCGAATGGGCAATAAAATGTAAATGTGGGCGCAGACAAACTGGCCAAAATCATACAAGACTTGCGATTCCTAATTTATCCCTTAAAACCTTGCTCCCAGTGTGAGCAAAATTGAGTTGGATTGTATTCACTTTCTCTCTGTAGCATTAGATTACAATCAGAGACATAATGAGGGGTTCTGAAATGCAATTATTTTAAGTGGTATTGTAAAATTCTTTGTCCTGAGGGTTAATACTCCATGATATCGAATCATGGAAAGGAAAAGTAATGAACTGGCTCACAGACATGACTCTCTGCCCTCTGGTTTCTACCAACACGCAGAATTGCAGATGCATAATGAAAGCACATAAACATGATGACGATGCGTTCACCTAAGGCCATCATTAATAATTCATGATTCATATTCAAGCCTTTTATGAAAACGCCCTGGTACATTTTTCAGTTTTTTTTTTTTTTTTGTCTCAGACTCAGTGAATGTAACACTCCTCCAATTTGACCTTTTCACCTCTTCTAATGCAACATCAAGACGTTAAAATCTGGCTGTTTGTTTATAAATGTGGCAAACATTCTGCATCTGCGTCTTGACAACCCGCCATTCCTCAATTTTATCAGATAATCTAATTAAAAAACTGTGAGGACAGCAAGCTGAAAACTACATGGGCTCGTTTTCATGGCTGCGGTTTGGGATTTTGCTGAGGCCACGATTTCTCCTTTATAGTCTAACCCCATTGTACCTTCAGCCTCAAAACCCTGCCAATCTTCCATGGGGAATCACACAAGAAGATCTCCGAAATGTCAGCCTGACAGAAGCACTTTTCACTGCCCTTCCCGCCACTGCAGCAGAGCCACTGGAGGACGGAAAAGGGTCACTAACTGCATGTGCGCAAAATGTGTGCGTATGCATGAACACAGCTGTAAGCTTTAGATCACGACACTAGGGTGGCAGATATGCATGAATGACATCTAAATCATTGTGGTGTTATGTAAAAAAAAAAAAAAATGCAAAGAGTGTTTGTGAACAATCTTTTTTCTGCTGAGCTCCAGAAGTGAGCCCCAAGGCGAACCCTTTTGACCTTTCCAAAATGTTACTGCCCATTTGGCACAGCAGCCGCAGCTAATAAAACTTTCATAATCATGAATTTTTGATTCCAATCCCACTCCAGGCCTTGGGCTAACCTGGACCATGGTAGCCCGAGACCCTGAGAGGGATTGAGAGCTGATGTGGCTTGAGGTTTCATCATTCTACCCACTGTGTTTTTGACACGTTAACATTTGGAGCATTATAAGTGGGGCATGCATTGTATTATTATTCTTTTTTTTTTTTTTTAATTAAAGTAATGTTTCTCTTCCTGCCTCTTCCCCCTAAAAAAAAGCATTCCTTCGTCTAAACAATGCATAGAAACAGTTGACCCCAGATCCATATTCTCATGGTCAAATTCGCAGGGGTGAAACTAGGAAATTCAGAAATATTCACAGAAAGTCATGGCGCTGGAGTAAAGCACAGGATTTACATCTGCATGAGTCATCAGAGCAGAAGATTATGCAAGCTGCCCCCTGGTTCTTGTACAGCATTTCATAATGACCTCCCTACACACTAATGATGCTGACTCGCCATCGCCATTTATGGGGCCATATTCTTCTCTGTAACTAAGCAGAGTGATTTTTTTTCTTTTTCGTTTCCCTGTGACCTTTTGATCTTGCATTTACATGATTGCATGCGCTCTTGTATGTAGGCACCTGTGTCTTTGCAAATATAAATAGGTATAGAGCAACTGCTCATATAGGGAGGATAACAGGCAGTGACAGATAGGGTACATTGGGAAAAGACACTTACGGTTGGCAGAGTTTGATGAGGTCCTGGTCTGTGGTCCCTGGCGGAAGGCCCCGGATGTACAGGTTGGTTTTACTAAGCTGCTCCGCCGCACTGTGGCTGCTGCTATTGGTGCTGGGGCTGGGCGGAGCCATGGGAGGAGGGGGCGGGGCATATGACTGCTGCAAGACAGAGAAAGGCAGTTGTTATTAAAAATGTATGATTTATATGAGAATACTGTAATATTCACTTTTAAACAACAAGGTTGCATGATTTAAGAAAAAGATAATGAAAATCTATCTCTAATGGACAATCTAGCCAATGTGTGCTTAAACACAAGCCGGTGAAGTTTAAGTTTGAGCAACTCTCACACATTTGACACGAGGCAAAAGCTTTCAGGCTCTGTCTTAAGGAACCTAAGTATATTTCACGCCAAATGAAAAGACTGCAAATAAAAGGGTACGTAAAATCCAATTTGTCTTGAATTTTCAAGGGGATATGTATATTTGTCATTTAATTTGAGACACTTAGGTTACCGTGTCATATGTCAGAGAGCTTTACTGTCTAATAAATAGATACTGTATTTTCCCAAAGTTACAATAATGAGCATATTTCAACAAGTCTGCGTGACAGCGTACAACTGAATCAAGAAAGGCCTATTACTTCAAAGTGCGCGTGCGTGCCCGTCAACCAGACAGGGCGTAACAGAAAAATGAGAGCTTGACTGACAGGGTTAACGTTATTTCACTAATAACTAAATAACGAAGTAGTCATGTTATTCAGTGTGCTAAACTACAGTGGTCCATGTTCAACAACAAAGCTTTTGACTGACGACGAGCTCTCTCGACCTCAGAAGTATGTGAAGTTACATTGTTTAGTTTATGCAGGGATATAAAATATATACAATAAAAACAATAAAGTATATCCATATACTGTGCAGGGAGAGGCAGAAAACCCAAAAGGGCTTATTTAAAGCCTAAACAACAACAACAAAATATGAAAATGAAAGAAAAAGACAAATTACAATAACAAATATATCAATGCATATTACTGTATCAAGTTAATTACAACATGATATCAAAAACCCCAAAATAATGTAATAATGGAACAAGCCATTTGGGGAAAATATTTCAAAATACAAAATAAACTACAAAATGATCTTTTATAACATATTAAAGAAGTTTTTTTTTTTTGTTGTTGTTGTTTTTTTTTTTGCTAGATGGGATAAACCATTCCGTAATTCAATACCCCTAATTACCCCTTTGCCAAATTTCCGATAGCGCGGAACGCAGCATAGTTCTATTGACTGACCTCGTGCTTACACCTGATTGGTCCAAAGAACGCGCTGACGCAATACACCTGCAGTTTCCGACGATTCCAACCAGTCTGGACTGTTTGCCAGTTTAATCATCGTTGTCGTCAGCAATCCAGGTACAGCAGCACACAACACAACTACTAAACTGATTGTACTCATATCCCTCACAGCAAGTTGGTTTAATCCGCGTCCATTTTAATGTGGCGTCTAAAGCTTTGAACCGTACAGCGAGCGTTATATTTTCTGACAGACACGTTAGTCAGATATAGAACCATCACTGTGACAGTTAGATTGTGTCATGAGAGTTATTATTTGTGTGTGTGCGCGCTTACCTAGTGATGTCTATGTAATGTACTGTGTGCGCGTCTGGCCCGCGCTTTCTGTGTTTGTGATAATCATTGGCTGTCAGTTGTGTGCTGTACACTGGCAAGTCTGTCCTGCCATTAATCTATTACCTGCACTTCTCCACAGTCTGCAATTTCCTCCAGACAGACAGACAGACAGACAGACAGGCCTAGCACGGCTATAATAGATTCTGCACTCATATAGTTCCCACACACCCTTTGCCTCGAGCTACAGTTATGAATAAACCCATTGAATTCTCAGGAATACAACACACAGACAGGGAACAGAAGACGACGTTAAAGTGCCATCAAAACATACATGTGTATAGGGAAATAAATATAAAGCTCGAGTTCACTCTGAAAAAGTAGGGGATTTTATATGAATATGAGAAGGGCAGTGCATTGCATGAACAATGACATGTGTACCAACAGTGCTGTAACTACTAACTCAACTTTATGATCAAGTTTATAGTTAGAACATTGTTTAGTTTATGCAGGGATATAAAATATATACAATAAAAACAAAGTATATCCATATACTGTGCAGGGAGAGGCAGAAAACCCAAACGGGCTTAAAGCCTGAACAACAACAACAAAATATGATAATGAAAGAAAAAGCCAATTACAATAACAAATATATCAATCCATATTACTGTATCAAGTTAATTACAACATGATATCAAAAACCCCAAAATAATGTAATAATGGAACAAGCCTTATGGGAAAATATTTGAGAATACAAAATAAACAATAAAATGATCTTCTATAACATATTAAAGACGTTTTTCTTGCTAGATGGGATAAACCATTCCATAATTGAATACCCCTAAATCTTATCGAGGACTGACCTCTACAAGTAAGAAATTTAGGAATTTGAAGATTGACGAGTTAAGTGACAGTCAACCTGTAAATTTACTTAAAAATACATATTTGCTTTGGAAAATTACCTTCTCTTGAATATATCTTATGAAAACACATTTGATTTAATATATCAATAGTAAGAACCAGAAGTTTCTGAAATAAAGTAGACCTATGCGATTTCGGATGCAGCTATGATTTGCGTTTGAAGGTTTGATTCATTGAATCGGTTCATCTTGAACAGTTCTTTCTCTTGTATGTAGTGAAAGTAATTTTGATTCATTTTAAAGAAGTTTTTTGGGGGGGCCGTTTACAAATCTTAAATTAAGAGATTCAAATAATGATTTACTGATTCGCATGTTGCTGCTCATTACTTTCGTTTTCGACCAACGCATTCTCACCCCAAGGCGTCACCTTTGACCATGCTTCAATATTTGACATTTTAGGCGCCCTTTAGCGTCAATTACATTACGCGATCCTACGGCGTCATCTAACTGACGCTAAAGGAAAGCGTCTGTTAGAGGACGCGGTTAGGTTTAGGTGTGGGGTGGGGGTAGGGTACACGTGATCCTAGGGCGTCATTTTACTGACGCTAAAGGGCGCCTAAAGCGTCAGATATTGAAGCATGTCCAAATGCTTCCCAAGGCGTCAGTTAAGTGACGCCTTGGGGGTGAGAATGGGCTGTTTCGACTCAGTCACAAGAGTTGTATTCTAGTGTTTTATTGTATTTAGTTTTTAATTTTGATGTCACATACATTGTTGATTTATTACATGAATGCAATGATAGTCAGCACATATCACGGCAAAACATTTTTTGCAAAAGTAAATTACAGCATTATATTTTGCAATTTGCATAGAAACAATGCTGTACCTTATTTATTTTTTATAACTACTTTCAAACCTAATGTTCCCAAACACTGATGCACACATAACTCTGCTTTACAAGCTGTGTATAGTGTGCCAGAGCCCTACATGAAATCTGGATATAATAAATACACCCAATTCCCAGAAACTATACACTCCATATGCGTGTCTGACATGGCTTCAGGCAGTCATGCACACACGCATGATCTGACTGCACAAAAAGCTTCCTGTGTGAGTGGAAGCTTATCAGACCCTCCCGGCCCGGTTCTCCTCGACAGATCAGGGGCCTGGCCTCCACAACACGACGCCGGGATGGAGACAGACCGAGCGCATGAGAGCAAAAGCTCGGCTGATCAAAGTGCGCGCCACAGACACCTCTTTCAGCCAATTTGTGCAGCTGTCAGGGGCACGGCGATAGCGCGTCAGGGTGTGTAGTGTGTCAGGAGTCATGATGGGGGAAGCCTTTGAAACGTCAAAGGCGTTCACTTCGCCATCAGACGGGCCGGGATTAGAGGGAAAGGGAGAGATGATGTTGCTTCTACAATGGACTCCAGCAGGAATCACACACATACTCTAGGCGTCTCCACAGCCACACACACTAACAAATCCCATTCAGTTGTACATGCAGCTTTAGCGGAGGCACTTAACTTAACCGAGGAGACCCTGGGAGACAAATTGCCTGATTATAGATGTGCTATTATGCTACACATATGTTGTCTGAAACGCATTAGCACACTTAAAGTTTCCATTTGTGATAAGTTGTCAGTTAACATTAACAATAGTCTGTCTTGAGGTTTTGCTTTGGCAAAGAAAAGTGTTTGCAAAAGTGGTAAGTGTTTGTACAGTATTGTTGTGGTATCTGGTATAGTGATATCAATATATATATATATATATATATATTGCAAGAAAAAAAAATATATAAATATATATATTTTCAGGGTCATTCCCTGTCAACTCAAGAGGTCATGAGCTCAGATTTTCAATTTTATCTTTATTTTTTCTGAAGAAAGACAGTGATGAAATATTTATTGACTAATCCACTATTTTGGCATTTTTCACGTAACATTTTTCATATGACATTTTTCATGTAATATTTGGAACCAAATAAAGAAAGAAGGCTAGACCTTCTTAGGTGTAGAAGACGTATAAAATGATAACAAAAATAGAAATAATAGTTATAATACAATAGGACGTGTCTGAGTCAAATCATAAAATAAAAATAAAAAACAGAGGGATGTATCTGTCCCTGAACATCTGCAAGAAAGTTCCACAGAGAAGACCAAGTCTGCCAGAAAACATCAGACCTTGCAGATCATATGTTAGGCTACATCTGAATCGATCTGAAGAGAAAACGCAAAAGTGGCGTTGGTTGCGTTACTGCTTTTTATTCTGCGTTTAGACTAGCGTTATGGGTGGGAAATCTGCGTGCGTAGTGTGTGAAATTCGATGTAGTATGCACTCCAGGCGGCTAGGTGGCAATGTGAAGCACTACCACACAACAACACCAAATCCGTGCGCCTGCATACAACCTTCACTGTCTAGCAGACTTTTGCGTTTTTATCCTTTAGACAGGAACGGTGGTTTCACTTTTTTCAGTTTTTAAGCCCCAAAAATGCCATCGCCGTGTAAACGAAAGGCACATCCTTTAAAATAGGAGCGTAAAATATGATTCCGGGTGAAAACGTAAAAATATTTTTTCGGATGTGCCTTTCGTTTACACGGCGACAGCGTTTTTGAGGCTTAAAAACACAAAAAAGTGAAACCACCCTCCAGAGTGGAAATCTTAAAAACGCTCCACTGC